GAGGGCCGTCCTATTTTATTTAAGCGAGACTTGGCCTCTCCTGAGGTGTTTTAAAGTTTTTGATCATTGTTCTTTGCGAAACATTGCTGGCTTCGGATGGCACCAGCGTGTCCGCAACAGTAATATGCGTATGCGAGTACTAGGCAGTGGTAACCAGGCTAGATCCTTAGAACAACAGATAGCACCTATTAAGTTGCGTTGGCTTAGGTACGTACTACGTATGCCTGGTCACCGCTTACCGAGGAGGGCCTTGTTTTGTTTGCCAGATGTAGGATGGCGCAAGGCTCGAGGTAGACAAAAGTTGACTTGGCAACGGGAAATGAAGTCACTGACGACCCAACTCGGTGCCGTCGGTCCGTCTCATCTTCCAGGCTGGAGTCCACGTGACTCACCTTGCGTTTGGCTTGAGACGTTACGGGGCATGGCTCGCAGTCGACACCAGTGGCATGTCTGCTGCTGTCTCCTAGCCGGATTGCCTGTTTAATGTGTGTTTGGTGCTGTTATCTGCAGGGTAATGACTGATCATGACGCGGGGCAGTGCAAACCGCAAGGAAACTGTCTCGTCGATGTCACCTTATCTTTGCACGATAGCCAGCTGTTTGTGGTGATATGTTGTTGACAAGGTGCAAGCGCCTTAACCCTGAATGTTTGCTTAAGGCATTGTTTTCAGCTAAGTCCTCCTTCTCTCCTTACTGTTCTTCGTTCTGTAGGTCACAGTGGTTATACGACAGAAGCATCAGTGCAAGTGGCTGATTTATTGCTGTTGATGATGGTAAGTGATGGTAGCCTACTTCACCACCTCTGCAAACTGCTGACACATGGAGCGTGGCACAAGCTTTCTTCGGCGCCGGGGTGGCAAGGTGGGGCTCACTATAACAGTTACACTTCGATCGTGGAGCTAATTTCGAAAGCACGCTCATGAGTGGGTTGTGCGATATCTTCGACATCTGGAAGACACGAATGACTGCATACAATTCGGATGGAAATGAACTGGTTGAGCTCACTACTCTTAGCTAAATAGCGTTACTGAGGTCGTTCCTGAACAGTGGGGTATGCCCTGACCTCGGTGTTTACTGGCTTATTGAGCAGCCGTGCTTTCTCGATATAAACCCATGATCGCATCTGATCGCCAGGTGTACGCCGTAACGGCGCTTCGCTGTCACGCGACCACCATCAGTCGCGCGCCAGCTGAGTGTACCGCGAGGACACCCACCTTTATACGGATTCGAACCGGTGACCTTATGATTGTAAACCAGGCACGCAGGCCAATGGCCCACCGGCCGACTCGCGTCCGATCATGTACTCTGAATGCAGTTCAGTCTGCTGTGCGCACACCAATTGGCACAGGAGCATTTACAATCTTCATATCGCCATAATAAGGCGTATTTCGACCACAAGACCGTTAAATACGTGTGACACCGTTTAGGTCAAGGCATTAGTAGTACCAGCGGGAGTCCGTGCTAAATTCTTTCGCAATTGGGGAACCCGTATGTTATTGAGTACCTACGTGTCGAATCATGTGACCTAGTGCACCGAGTTCGTCGGCTGTTGTGCACTTTAACAGGCTGAAGCCGGTTAAAAGTCTCAGCGGCGCTGAGGACAGTGCCTGTTAAGAAGGGGGATATGTTGACAGTCTGCAAACGCTCGTATGACGCGCCATAAGAATGACGTATTGAATCCTTCCGTTATCGGACTAATGGCGCTGCTAAATTACATGAACCAACGACGACACCAAGTATAGACAGACGCTGACACATGTTTATCTCCATATCTTCGGCACTCTGATTTTGGTTCTCTCTATCTCGGTGTGTCTCGCTATCTCTTTTTGCCAGACATCGATATCCACGTATTTCTATTAATCCTGAACTCTTACTACGTGGTTGCGATAACGGCATCCAATCGTCTAGTGAATATTAGTTTTGGCTTCTAGCTCCGCAGGTCTATTACGACTTCTTTTACGCATCGAACATGGAGTAACTCGGGCCGGACGCATATTACACGCTAGCATGCGATTGATATAGCAGATCAGAAAGTGTCATTGCAGCAAACCAACAGGCAAGAGATCGTTGGGGCTCCTCTAGAAGGCCGTTGTAGTTTTCTCTTTTTTCATTTTGTTTTCGGTGATTTTAGAGCAATCATCCCCCATGCGCTTTCACGCCATCCACTCACCTAAGGCTGGATTTTCAATGGTCTGTTGTGAAAACGGCATCCAAGTCACCACGAGGTTTTAGCCAAGCGTGTCTTCCGTCCAGCTCATTCTCTTATTAGGTGGTTTAGATAAAACCATCCAACCACCTATGAAATATCTGCTTTGCATTTTAGCCTCTTGGTCTTTTACGACCCACTTATTCATCAGACACGGAAGTCCTCCGGATCTTCATCTTGACGCATACTACAATTGGTCGGGGCCCCTGAGCAGGGAAACGTCAATGCCGCACCGTACCGCTTCGCAGTACTCGCGTATTGCTAGTGCCATTTTCTAGCCAACGCGTAGAATGAGTGGATGAATTTCAGACATTCGAGATGTGTTTATGATGCTGCTATGCGCAACTGTCTATTAGAGTTACGAAACAACTTGTTCTCAAAATTGGGGCATATGGCTCAATATATGGTAGTACTTCTTGTCCCATCAATGTCTCAAATGAAGTAGGCCAAGGCTACATCGCCTCCGTCTTCTTATCCAACTTCCCCGTGACTGAAATCCTCCCTTGGAAAATAGTAGGTTTCATAGTGTCGAACTGCTTTCAGTCGACAGACTGCGTGAGTTGAATTACGCAAGTCGTTATCTGTGTTATCCCGCAATTTTCCCACAAAATGATGCGTATGTCCTTGAGACCCGCTATAAAAAATATTTTCACAGTGCTGCGATATAAGCAATTTTGTTCTGTTATCGTGAGAACCCATGTGCACAAACGATGCCTAGGATTTGTTACTGTTGCTTTCGGAATGTTGATGGTATACCATTGCTACTGCACATTCCGAATGCGTTCTTTAAAGGCATCAGCAGTACGCTGATACGCATTACCGACACTTCGCTGCCGCGCAACCATCACACGTGGGCTAAGGATACTGCTAGGATCGTCCGCTCTGTACGCAAGGTCGAACTCGCGCCCTCGGATTACGAGGTAAGTTTGCGATGCATAAGGCTACGGGCCGGCGTTCTGGCGGGTTTCCAAGTCAAACTTATTCTGCGAACGTTCTCTGCACATGTATGGGTGACATGGACGTGTGCGCGCTTACGTGGACTGGAATTAATATCAGTGATCAACTCACGACTTGGGGTTGACGTATCAAATCACCAACCACAATGACAGCTGCGGTAAGACACTGACTCTCGGGTTGAAGATTTAAAGCTTCTTAACATCTGTTCGGCAACTATCGAACAAAGCCATAAACTGTAGCGGAGAACATAGACTCACCAACCTTCACTTTATCGTGCATCTCAGTTGTGATCGCCAGTACATTTTATTACTATTTGCTACATCTATATACAGATCGTACATGCATGCGCTCTCAGACAGCGAATTTGGCGTACCGTTGGTGTCGTTGGGTTTTTGCCTTCTTTGCTATCTCCAATATTTCTTAGTGCTACTATATCAAAACATGTTGTCTGCTTCTAGTACCCCGGCCTGGATATGTACACCCGCCTGTTAACAAAGACCGCGCGCGACACTTGCACCGGACTGTCCACCAGGACCACATCTATTTGTCTGCATCTTCCGCTAGTGATCATGGCAGACCTATCTCGGACGTTCAGTTGGCGAACCACAATGCGATCACTTATCAAACAATAAACCAACATGCGGATGCTTAACCTAGGCGTCTTTGTCGTAGTTCACTTTGTTACTGGAAATGAAGAATCCAGATTTGAGAGCATTCATGTGTACTAGTGCTAACCTTCGGAATAGGGGTGAGATAACTCGTCGATTCAGTTCCCTGCGATTTCCTTCTGGCTCCGCAATCGCATTTCATTGCCGCTAATCAAAAGAAAAGGCGCCTGCCTGATGCGCCGATTTTCAAGAAGATGAGATCGCGTATCGTAATGCAAATGTTCGAGGTGCTTTTTGTCAATCTTCGCTACTTGTGACACCGGTGCGACATCACTATTGCCCTGAAAGGCAGAGTCTACAATGCAGCCACCTGTTCAACCCTTATATATGGTTGTGCAATCTGGCCTATCAAATCGACAGACGTGAGGAGGAGGCTTGTTACTTTCGACCATTGGTGCCTTCGCAAATTGGCTTGCATCTGGTGGGAACAGGGTGTGAGCAGTGAGCGTGTTCGGTCCCTTGTTTGTGGCGCAAGGAGAGGAAGTAAGCCGCTGAGCACCATTATTTCACGCACCAAGTTCCGATGGCTGGGCCATGTGTTACGTGACCATCACGATGTGCACTTGTGCGGTCGGGGTCTGGAAGGAAGACGAGGGGAGACCAATGGATGACTCGGTCAAGAGGAATGAAGGCCCTCACTTTGAAGTTAGCATCAGTTGGAACATCTCAACTTCCTGGTTGGGGTCCGAAAGACGATGAACATGTTTGGTTGGATACGCCTGTTGACATAACCAGGAACTGATCTCAAAGACGAATAAAATAATCCTAAGCGTAATAATATTTGTTTACTTTACTTCTTGCTGTGACCTAATTGAATTCTAATGCGGCACAACAGGTGGAGCGTTCCTCACACCTAGCTAATGTGTATAGTGGTGACGATTCTCAGATGACCGCGAAACGGATCTTCTTGCAGGATTTCCTAACTGTTGATGGCCTTTAGAGAAAGCTACCGAGACAGATTCTCATCCGTTTGACTTGTAGGTGGCTCAGCATTTGTCATTGTTCGCGAACTCATTTTATATCTACCTTGATAAGTCTGCACACAAGTGACCCATCTAACTTGCCTATATTACAACTTGATGAAAACGCTTAGTCCAGTAGCAGTCATCCTTCTGTTACCTTTTTCAGTGTATAACATACCTGCAACGCTCTCGTCAATACTCCGGAACAATGATTTCCACTGCAACCCCTGAAGAAGATTGCTTTTATACAGTGAATGGAAGGATACTTGAAAACCTGAGCGGAGTGCCTCCGGATGCTGTCGTGCGTAAACATTACCGTCTTCGGGGCGGCAAAGGAGGTTTGTTTCATATAGTTTGTTCATACAGTCTTCTTCCAAGGATTCGGTTCTATGTTACGCGCCATTGGAAGTCAGATAGAAAAAACCACGAATCATGAGATGTGCCGCGATTTGTCCGGGAGGCGTATGCGTGATGTGAACATGGAAAAGAAACTAAAAGAATGGTACGCAAAAGCAAGTGATAGAGAGCGAGAGAAGATGGAAAAATATTATGAGCGACGCATGAAGCGACAAGAGATGCTTGCTAAAGGTCCGTTGCCAGGTCACAAATTTTCAGACCGTGAGTATGAGCGCCAGAAGCGTAAGATAGCTTACGAACTGCAAGGAGCGTTGGACGAAGGTAAATGACGAGATTTCATTCATCCTCGTTTTAGCTATTGCGAAGGTGATAAAAGAAAAGTCGCTAGATGATGCACACCAACCGTCCACATCTTCTAAACGTCCCCGATTGTGGATTGAAGAGCTTGACGGTGACTCGTACAGCTCTAGCAGTACAAATGCAAGTGAGAACGGATCCCCTGTCCGAATGGTGCCAGAAATGGATGACCAACAGGCAGAAGAAAGAGAGCGAACGGATCCAGATCATCCAATTCGATCGGAGAGCGAAATTCCTGAGCATCCATCCGACCCTCCTGTCACAGGTTAGCTCTACATTGCAACAGTTGGGTACGCTCCAGAGTTGACTGGATTGAAGTGTTACGCATTTTTTCCATGTATGATTGCTAAATCTCAGTGACCATCCCACATTTGTAATTAATTAATAGAAATATTTCTCAACGCGGTGAGACACCGTTCAGCAAAACTGATCTGATTACGTCGCGTACAAAGTAAATTCATATTGCAGTGCTTGGCTTGCGAACCCTATTTTCCAGACCCCGCTGGTGCACAGATTTAGGCTGGCATGGAGGCGAAGCATAGATACACAGTGTTGTGGTACTGCTGATACACATATACTGAGGTAGGAATCACTGGGTATGCTAATTTTCAACAATCCGAAAATTTTACTGCTTCGTCCCAGCTGCTCACATGCTAGTTGGCGTAAGCTGCTACCGACCATGGGTTCGATCTGCCGCAGGGGACAGAGGGATTGCGCACCACTGACGATTCCCAATAGGGCGAAACGATTGCCTGTTGCTTTTCCGGACCGGAGCAGCTGGCTGAAGCAGTAAAATTGCATGAAACTCTTCCTACTCATAAGTAATCCGAAAATTCTTGTTTGACAGAATGAATCAAAGTTTCGATTCATTCTACGAGAGGTAAGAGACAAAAACACCTGTAGCTAGCGGACCAGTTGATCCCCGGCTAAATTTTCGAAACAGAAGACGTTGAAAGCGCGCGGGAAAAGACTTATGCTTTGTCACTTTTAATACCCGGACTTCGTTAATGTGTTGTGTATGTGTTGTATTTCTATGTGCTGAGCGTGTGTGACGATTAGGTTGCAAACGTTCTATCACCGAATGAAGTGAGTAAACAGTGCCGGATTCACGCACGTGAGGATGTAGACTCAGCAACTTCATTGGATGCTCGACTAGATCATGTCGACTAGTTTATAGCCATCGATATGTTTGGTTCAACAGACTCAAAGTGCGTAGGACAACTTCGATGAACTCCTAGTTCTCGCTATTGCATTCTTGGACATGTTCCAGCTATGAAGATTTCTAGGGTAAACAGACAGCCTCTACAAAAAACGTGACTCGGGAGGCACATGTACTCCAATTTAAGTGATCATCCAACTGATTCGCACACAAGTGATCGATTGAAGATGAGTTGTAGTTCTTCACCAAGACTTACAGGATTCTCCTCTTAGTTACAGACATAGAACAGGGATTGAAGACTAATGGCGTTTACACGTATAAGTAATTATTTATCACTCTGTGAAGATCACTGATTTGGATCTTTAATACCTGAAATTTGCCGTTTCCCACATTCTTTGCGTAGAATCGGCTGTTTTCATACCCCATCCAAACATGATCGATCGCACCACACCGCATATATTTCTGTCGCAGGTCTTATATGCATCTGCCTGCTCCCTTCATCTCACTGTTTTCGTTCAACTTTTGCGATTTTTGCAGGCTGCCTACTAGATGTAACGTTGAGATTAACATCTCTCTCTATGTTTATATTCCAGGAAGTGCTCAGTCACCTGCTCCGTGTCAATCAGCTGAGAAACCAAAGGAAAAGCCACCAGTGCAATCGTTGACAGACTCACAGTTAATCGAAATCCAGTCTGTAGAGATCCTTGAGTCTTTCGGCCTGGACGTCCTCAAGCAATCCTTAATTTCTCGCGGGCTGAAATGTGGCGGTACTCTTTCGGAACGCGCCACTAGGCTCTTCTCCATTCGTGGTCTCGCGCCAGACGAGTATCCTGCCAGAATTAAAGCAAAATCCAAATGACATTCGCTCCACTAATGTATCCCCTTATTTTTGTACTAAGTCTGTCACGGATAAATGCCTCTCCGCACATTTCCCAATCCTTTTCCTGGACTGAACGCTAACGCGCCTGAAACACCTTCCATTGATAGAGATATGGACAATGTATAGGCATTTATCGGTTGAGAGTCAGCAATGCTCCCGTATCCTGGCTCTTCCAACAACACGCTTCTTCTGCGTTCAAGTTCTTTCCCACTCGCTTTCACCGTTTTATCTGTTTTTTTATATATTCTGCTCCAGTCTGTTTTCTGTCACAAGAGTAACCTGATCCATACTGCACTTCAGCCTTCGTATCATGGTCGTCAAAACGAGCGTGTACGAAGTACACACCAAATCAATCCACAAAGGAAGGGAGAGATGAATGATCAAAGCACGACCCGAAATGCTTCGTCATATTCCACTTTCAAGAGAGGAACGCTGGCGTTTAATCAGTGTAGTTACGTTTCATCGCGGCTAGCCCCGATCCGCTTAAGAGCAGCGCGCAAGCCGGCGGAAGGTGTCTCCCAAGAGCACGTTTTCACTGCAAGACATCGAATCGCGGGTTCGAGACCCTCACCGAGAGGATGTGAACCACTGACGAATCCTCGAGGGATAAAGCAGCCATCGGATCGAGTCCAGTTGTAATAAAGTCGTTAAACTTCCACTGTCAAGCGTTTTCCACGGATTTTGGTGGCATATTGATCAATGCGCCAGTCGTTAACCACCATGCCACGAGTTCTACCCCAATCCAAGCTGTCTCCATCTAATGAGTTCAAACGAAGAACGAAACCGGTCATAGGGTGTCAGTGTTGGGTAGAGCAACACCGAAACATTTCCATTCCATTGCATGCACTGTAGTTGCGTACATGTCAAACACGCGTAGTTCCATCTTATATGGTGCACCTGCTCTTCTCGGACAGTCGAATCTGGACTTCTGGCATTTCCTTTGGTTTAAAGCGCCACATAGCGAATTGACAACATTCCGCGGCTGTCGGGCGTCTTCCACTCGAATGAGCAGCGCAAACGTACTAGACACCGACCTCAAAAGGGACCTGCACAGGTTGTCTCTATTCAATGTTACAAATTTAGTCCCGGAATACAACTGCCGATTGCTTATATGCATTTATTCAGGAATAAAGTTGATCTTACAGAGTCACATGTAGGGTTAAGAAAAAGACCATGCGTGAAACAGCTTTCCGGGGTAACCCATTCTATCGCGCGTGCAACATAGCCGGAAGTATGCCGATTGTATGTGGGACGATTCAGATGTGAGGAATTTGTTGCGACCGATATTGCGAATCTACTGAGGCGTCATTTGTCCGCCCGTGTTACTTAAACTACAGAGTCCAGTGGGTGCGTGTTTTCTTGAGTATCTTGCTGTTCCAGAAAATATAATATTGACTCGAATCGAGTACACCCGCTGGGGGCATCCATTTTATGGGCAAGCTTGCTCGAGTCCATCTTGAAGAGTAGTTTCGATCCACTGAACAGTGTCACGATATTCGTTGGTTGACGACATGCTTTATTTATCACCTGCCATCTATGGCTATATCGCAACCTTCTGAACACAGGCATCGGCTGATTTTTGGTAAACCGAGGTGAATCACTTTTCGCAATCTTACAGCTAAGTTATCTGAAGGTGCGCCGAAACTCGATAAAGGCGTGCCAAGGTTCATGACCGATCACTTACTGCGTGAGGAACGATCAGGTTAGTTGATTCACCAGGCATCTGACCGAGGGGGACATGCAGTACACTTACATCACCCGACTAGCATGGGTGTGCGCAGTTTCGCAGCAGAGCATGCATCATGAGGATGTTATGCGTAGAAATCCAGGAAGTCACGAGCGAGGAATGGTTTCGCTGCTGTCTACTGAACAAAACCATCTTGATTCACTGAAATTTCTTGGACACTGTCTCCCAGTTCGTTTTAAACTAGGGTTCTTGCAGGAAATCATCACTTCACTCCCTTGTTGCTTACAGGCCGCGATGGTACACATGAAAGCCACTATTGCAAGAGTGATCTTGTGGAAAATATCAACTAGGTAAACTTCTCCGACGTATATGTTACAGTTAGTGGAAAACACAGTGCGGGCACATACTTGACTGCCCTGAATGCCAAAACCCACGGGGCAATTTCAGGGTAGTTAGCAAACAAACTACTCTCCACTTACTATAGTTTGTGGAGGCGGCAGCAATTCGGCGGCCGAAACCAAATCTGTGCAAGCAAACGGATTTCGTGACCACGCTAGCCCTACCCTGGTGAGGATAGTGATTGCGTTTCCCTCGGAACGGGTCACGTGAGCCTAAGGACCTTCGACCGCTTTCACTTTTTTGCTGTATATGTTACAATTGTATGTACAAGTTCACTAAAGTCAAAGGCTGGCCAATAATGGCGTTCAGACTGCTTAATTTTCAGGACTGAAAGACATGGGTCAAGGCCGTCTGCCCATGTGTGCAACGAGGCCACTCATCTTTGGACTTTACTAAAAGCTGCTTCCAAGGCCATCATATCCAGAGGTTAGCTGGGCCAGAATCCGCAACCAATGTATCTGGTTTTATTGACAACAACAGCATGATCGTGTGTTAGCCACCTAGATAAGAAGTGCTCTTAAAGACTGGGTCTTGACAACTGATAAAGCGTATTGCTCCAATGAAAAAGATGGACACTGCAAAAGATGTTATTCCTGTTACCCAAATGAGAGTACTTAGTAACGCATTGATGTGCTAATGGATTGTTTCGTTCTTTAAACAAGTGCTACTTCTGGACGCCCGAAATCGCCGCACTCAACCACACACATAGAAGGCTGATGTATATATTTTACAAGTCGATGGAAGGTGTGATCGTTCTGGGGCCTGAGCGTGAGATAACTGGCGCATAAGTGAATATCTGATGAGAAGTCAAACGACAACAATGGAGAAAAAATCAAAGGTAAAACAAAAGCGATGGAATAGAGTAAAGTGATGTGGTGTGGGAGACGAGTGCCGCTGTACACGAGCTTCATCTCAATTGGCAGACGCTAGACCGACTTGTTCGACGTCATTGGATAACGCACTTCTCTGATCGTCCTCGATGCGAAAATTCGGCAACTGCTGCTGTACATCTGTCCAAACGCATCTCTTCGGCGAGGCTGAAGTGTAGAAGCGAGGGATCGTAAACATAATGTGTGATGGACGAGGCGGCACCAATATACACTTCATTAAAAGGAACAGACGCGAGTCCCAGACATATGAGAGGTGTATCAGAAAGGGTAATGCACACTTTGGTGCGCTTATCCACTAGGAAAGGCATGACAGAATGGTGTTTATACTTAACGGTTAGGTCTTGGGATGTAACTTTTAGTGTCGACATCCGGATCACTAGGCACACCGCCATCAGAAGGTGCCTGCCGCGGGGCAACATGTGATATGCGCAGGTGGAGTGGCAACGCGACTTAGTTCAGTTTAAAGAGTAGTAAAAGAGTCTAGTGGTGATTTTTGAGAAGGTTCGTTACCATCAGCAGGATTTGGTGCATACGCACTGCTGACGAGTCCCAATAAGAGGAAATGGCCGCTCAACGCCTTCCCACATGACCGACGAGATTCTGCTGCGACGAACTTTCTAGTAAATTAATACAATATCCTACTACTCCCTAACAATCAGTAGTTGCATGAACTGGCCTATAACTCCATGAGATAATTGTCAGCTTGGTATGTTACGCATCTGGGTGCGAGCCTATCCCTCTGCACTGCAGTGAAGTGCATAGCTGAAAAAGAGCCGTGATTAGTAGTCAGACAAGACGGTCCTCCATCACCACCCACAACTTAGTGGCGTAAATCTGTAGGTTTGAATCTAGCAAGAACCAGTGGATGCACACGTGTGACAAGCGAAAAGGATGTGTGATAACTACCTGGCTGAGCCGGCTGCGGTGAACCTACGCTAAGATTACTAGAGTTCAGACAACGGACTACACTCTGGTCACCGAGGTCCGGTGGACCCAAACTGTGTTAATTTGCCTTGCATTTAATTAATAACAATGAAAAAGGGAAAAGAAAACATCAATATAGGAAGATTTGAAAAGACGAACGCGTCAGGGTCGTTCGTGTTACGCCGATTAATCAAATAGTTTCGTGCTCGAGGTTGAATGCGTGCGATGGGAGTGCTGGTACAGAGCGAGCTGATGGAAAAATTGAGCGAGCCAGACAGCCAATGGGAGGCGGACATAACGGATTCCATTACTGGATTCGGATTGACCGATATTCGTGTGATTTTGGCCCGATCTTACAATTTCTGTAGATGCATGGGCGACAGTCTTCTACGCAGTCGTATCGTTCTAGGAATCAATAAGGAAAGTACGACAAAGCGGCTTTTGCGACAACGCAAATTATCACACTAACAGTACATTGATATCTGCAACAGTGAGTCCTCTACCACCTCTCAGTACCAGTAAATGAAACTCGTAACTGATGCACAGTTGTGTACTGTATCCGGGTGCGATGCAGCAAAGGTTACTGACAGGAGATCTGCAAATTTTGCGCTGCGCGACACCCGAGCTCCCGCGGGCAGTGTCCGGCATGGGGTCGGAGATGCGCGAAATGTGGAAAAAGGAACCACTTTGCTCGTTGCAGCCAATCAACCAATGTGAGTGCGGTCGCCCATGACAAGTCACCCGCAGATGCATAACATTCAACTGGTAACATGTCTTGGAGGGTGTCGCAAAAACGTGTCTACCCAAAGCCATCCGATTCCAGTTGGATATGGGAGCTGCTGTCAATATTGTACCAAGGAAGCACTGTCCCGGAGTGTGCATTCGACCCGATGAAGATTGATTGCGTATGTGGAATGGTTCCAGACTTCATCCAAAGGGCTCAGCTACAATCGAAGTCGTTAAACCCAAGAGACGGAGCCTCATATCGACTGGAGTTTGTGATCGTGGAGAAGGAATTCACGCCGATTCTCGGCATTGATTCGATACAGTCTCTCGGTTTTGCTGTTTTTAATCATGATCGTTCAGTGCATGTCATTCCAAACACTCTGTTCCCCTCATCCCGAGACCTTTCCTCGGCATGCTAACTGGCTTTTCATATAGCCACTCTCATCTCGAAAGCTTCTTTTCTTATGACTTATTACTGTTATTCACAACTTAATTTGGCGGCCTAGCTTCATCTTGCTGAGTTATCCGGTCTCGTCTGAACGGTCTCCTGCTTTCTGACCAACCTCGGACTTCTGAGATCTAAATGATGTGTAGACTCTGCCAACGTAACGCCCTGTAAGCCTCACCTCAAAAGCATTGTTGGTCATGATTCATCCTTATTATTATATACCCATTTCATCCTTAACATGCCTTTTTATGCCGATGCTCTCTGTTAGTATTTAGATCTAAATTATACGGCTTTCTCCATTTGAGCTATTTTATTTTTGTCCTAATGATCTCTTTCCTAATGATCAGGGATTGGTAGACCCAGCGGTCTGTTCACATCACCTCGAGCATATCGTTGGCTTTTTCTGTTCTCATCAATAAAGCCTTTTTTCTGTTCACATCATCCCGAGGCTAACTGCCTTTTGTATAGCCACTTTCGTCCCAAACTGCTTCTTTTCTGATGACACTCATTACTTTATTCCCACCTTACTTTGGCGGCCTAGCTTCATCTTGCTGACTTATCTGGTTTTGTCTGAACGGTCTCCTGTTTTCTGACCTCTCTTGGACTTCTGAGATCTAACTGATCTAGGCTCTGCCGACGAAAGACTGTTACCCTCACCTCAAGAGCATTGCTGGTCATGATTCATCCTTATTATCATGTCCCCTTTCTTCCTTAACATGTCCATTTCTGCCGATGCTCTCCGTCAGCATTCAGACTTTACTAATACGACTTTCACCCTATGAGCCGACATTCTAGTCTCGTCTCAATGATCTCCTACCTTCCGACTTCTGTGACCCTAATGATCAGGAATCGACAGACCCAACGGTCTGTTCACATCACCTCGAGCATATCGTTGGCTTTTCTCTTCTCATCAATAGAGCCTTTTCCTTTTCGCACTCTATGTCTGACTTATCTGGTTTTGTCTGAACGGTCTCCTGCCTTCCGACCTCTCTCGGACTTCTGAGATCTAAATAATTTAGGCTCTGCAAACGCAACGTTCTGTCTCCCCCCGCCTCCAGAGCACTGCTGCTCATGATTCATCATTAGTATATCCCGTTTTATCCTTAACACTTCTATTCTGTTGACGCTCTGTTAACATTCCGAGATTTATAATACGGCTTTCTCTCTATGAGCCGATATCCTCCTCTCATCGTCATGGTCTCCTGCTTTGCGACTACTAAGCCCATACTTTTGAACCATCGACAGGTCCAAATGTCTGTTCGAAACACCTCGAGATCTTTGTAGGCTTTTCCACTTCTCCTTAATAGTCTCCTCCTTCCCGACCACATTCTTTCATTTTCGAGCTCTCTGTTTGCATTCCTTTATCAATTGGACGGATAACTCTTCGGGTCTGGCTCTACTCTAGCCTCGCTGACCAGCCTCCCACTTTCTGACTGTTTCCAGACATCCGAGACGCAAACGTTCTAGGCTATGCAGTCACAACACACCCTGTCCCTCAGCCTGAGAGCTTCGTTTGACATACTAAGTGGCTTTTTATATAGACGCTGTCGTCCCGCTATTTTGCTTTTCTTATGACACTCACCACTGTTATTCCCACTTTAATTTGGCGGTCTAGCTTCATCTTGCTGACTTATCCGGTCTCGTCTAAACGGTCTCCTGCGTTCTGACCCCTCTCGAACGTCTGAGATCTAAATGATCTAGGCTCTGCCAACGTAACGCTCTGTGACTCTCATCTCATGAGCATTACTGGTCGTGTTTTAACTTTTTTATTCCATTCCCCTTACAAGCTTAACAGGTCTATTTCTGCCGACTCTCACTGTTAACATTCTGGCAATAGTAAGATTGCTTTCTCTCTATGAGCCGACATTCTAGTCTCGTCTCAATGGTCTCCTTTCTGACTGCTGCCTTACCGATGAATCATCGACAGATCCATTGGTCTGTTCACAACATCTCGAGACCATTGTACGCTTTTCCACCTCTCCCCAATAGATACTTTTCCTTCCAGACTTCATTCTTTCCTTTTCGCGCCCTCTGTTTACATTCCTTTTTCAATTGGACGGAGAACTTTTCGGGACTTGGGTGTAATCTATCCTCGTCTGCCCAGTCTCCTTTCTGATTGCTTCCAGACAGCCGAGATATAAACGGTTTAGGTTCTGTAGTCCCAACACTCTGTGCCCCTCATCCTTTGTGCTTTGCTAGCTATACTATCTACCTATTCCGGTGCAACGCTTTACCACTCTTACCTTAATTACATCCCTGGGCATTATTCATCCTGCTTTTTATTAACAAGGATGAATCATCACCTGAAGAACGCCGGCAGCTTTTTCACTTCTCCTCAATAGAACCTGTTTTACCAACCCTTCCTTTTCTTCCTGTGCTTTCTGTTGCATTCCTTCTTCATTCGACGCTAACTTACATGCATTTTTCCTCCCTGAATTCGTACATTCCTACCAATTTAAGACTGAGGCAACGCGTCCCTGTCGCTTCTTCTGAGTGATATTCTTTGCCATAATCTGCACACCTCGTCCTCCTCTCTCTGGTTCCCACAGATTGGGCATATGCGCTTTAGGACCCCTCAAACTCTCTTTTCTTCACCTTCATTCCTATTTTGGAACAATCTTACGTTCTCTACTGATCCGTGTTCTGCTCGCTTCTCGTCGTATTTCGCCATTTACGATACATGTGTATATGCGATATTTAAATAACCATTACATGTAAAGGGGTAAAATAGTTCAGTCATCGCCGCAATTGATCGACTGCATTTCAGATACATTCCTTTCTTCTGTCTGTGTGTCTGTCTCTGGTTGTTGCCTTTTTCCCCCGAGTTTGTCACAGGTACGGCGACACGCACCCAAGGAATTGTCCATCGTTGCGACAACAATACAAGCCACACAGTTCCTTTAACTGGACATAAGCGGAAGATTAGCAACTCTTTTTACAACTTACTAACCGGACAAATCATTCGTTATCTTGCACGGATACAAATTTTCCGAGACTTGAACCTTTGGGTTCACTTTGCCTAACACCATCTCTTCCACATACCTCTTGC